CCAGTTGGCCCAGTTGAGGGGGGGGGCCCTTTTCCTTTTTCTTTTGTTTTTTTTTTATTCCAGCAGCATTTTGCCTTTTCTTTTAGCCATTAAAGACTTTGCAAAAATTATGCCATTGGCCAAAATAATTTCAAAGAAGTATATTGCACTACCAAAAAAAAGGGGGGAGGCTTTTGGAAAAGTTGCCAATTTTATAAATTAAAAAGGGCATTTAATTTATTGCTTAGGCCACTGTTTGAAGTAGCTTAGGCCACTCAAACCTTTTTGCAAAAAAGTTGGTTCACCACCAATATTAGTTGTGGAATATTCTGCACATGATGAACATTTTTGTTTTCATGTCTGAGCCTTTTGAATTTCAGACAAAATTTGAATTTGAATTCAACTGGAATTTAAAAGAGAAAGGAGACAATTATGATCAGGAACATGTTTAGCAAAAAGATTAACTTAACCCCAGGGGTTACTGTAGCATCATTACACCGGGGTGTTACACCGGCTCTCACAAACCAGGCCGGTCTTACCCATGGACCCACCTAACAACATGCTTGCCTTGACTTGATGGTCAACACAACATGCGGGAGTGGGTCTGCGGCCCACCTAGGCCACGTCCCACCAAGGGTGTGCGCCTTGATTCCCGCGAACTACTACCACATATGGGTGGACTTATGTTTGGACACTGCCACAATGGTTCTTCATTTGCAGAATTTTATCTCTCAAGTTTTTCTTGGGCATTCTTGTGGAGGATTACTTTACTCATAAACATCTGCTTGTAGGAACCTATCCGAAAGGGTTTTGTCAGTCACACTCTTGTGGTGGAGGAGGTTGGTCGCAAAAAGGTCAACCACGGGGTAATGCCGTAATGGTCTAATTTTGTATTGGTGCTTCAGTTGACAATGAAGTGAATGAACAGACATATATTCTTATTAAAGAAATATCTGATATATATATATATATATATGTTTTGAAAACCTAGGATGTTTATGTCTTGAGGTTGTACAGTAGATTGGATCAAACGAAGAAAGGAGAGGTATTCATCTTATTACACTCTTGTGTGTTTGCATACAGTTCTCCTGGCAATGAAAGATCTATTGTTACTGTCTTTTACTAGATTGCGTGTGCAACTCCTGGTGAAGCTCAGAAATGGACTGAAGCATTTGAGCAGGCTAAACAACAGGTATTAAGCAAGTACTGTCAAATACTACTTGCTTTTATCCAGATAGAGTAGTTCTGGTGTTTATTGAAGCAATACACCAATTCCCTTGTTCAACTGGACCAAGTTTTACCCTAACAAGCTAAAATAATACTTCTGTTTAAGGCACTTCTGCTGAAGTAAATATACCGATATAATTCATTTTCCTTATTTCCTACTTGCGTTATTAGTATTAAAATTGTGATAACTCACCGGATAATATTCTTGCTCTTTCTCTATGATATGAACTGCCATAATATTGCAAGAGAAATGTAGGTTTCTGATGAATACACAGAAGAATTTAGCATGTAATCAGGTGATTAATACTGTTGTGATCTGATTAACTTAAATTTGCAATGCAAGAGACTTGTTACGGGCCACATAAGTGTGCTAAATATAAAGGACGTGACTACACAGTGTGCCCACCTAATCTCTTTGTACCGCGCTCGGTACAGTGTGCCCACCTAATCTCTTTGCACCGCTGCGAACAGAGTTCAGCATGTCTCTTTACCTTATTACCAGTTTTTTGTTCTTCAAAAAAGCAACTACGCCAGGTTAGTTGACGCAACTGCCAGATCTTTTGGTACAGTTACCGGGTTTTACGAAAAGCAATTACCAAGTTCTCCGATTTAGCGACCAAATGTACCGAAACCTGGGGACTGTACCGAAAGATCTGGCAAATACAAAAGCAGTTTTACAAAATCTGGTTGGTATAAGCCCACGAATCATCACAACCACATGTGCGTTCTGCGAGAAAATGTAAATATGACACTTGAATAGTTTGTGCTCAAAATATAACTTGCTAGCTAGAAACCTGATTGCTGGTGTGAGAGAAGGAGGACCGGAGGAATGAGTCGAGAATTCTTGATTTTTTTTGTATGGGGAAATTCTGGAATGTTGAAGTGCTAGCAATTGGCAAATACTCCCTCTGTTCCGAAATACATTGCGTATTAATTTAGTCTAAGTCGAACTTTGTGAAGTTTGACAATGTTTATAGATAAGTTATCAGCATTTACAGTACCGAAGCAATATCATTGGGTCTATCATGGCATATATGCTCATATAGTTGGTGTTGATATTTCTTTAATATAAACTTGGTCAGACTTTACAAAGTTTGGCTACAGATAAAAATAATATGAATGTGTTTTGGAAAGGAGTAACATAAGAAGTGCATTTAATACTCTTACAATTAGTGCTCACACTTGTTCCTTGGTGGTGTTAGTAGTGTCATTGTTGCTTTACGAGCCCATAACATAATTTAATGTATAAAATTGTTTGTTTGGATCATTGAATTGCTCATGTATATACAGGAGTTTCTTTTTGTGAATGTATATACAGGAGTTATTCTTTGTATAGTTAGAAGTTGTGCCTCCATTTGTTATGTAATGGATAATCAATCCCTGCTGCATTTGATTTGTTCTTGTTACTTTCACTTGAACAGTCTTTTTATTTATATTTCATAACAGGCTGAGTATGACCTGACAAGAGGGGCCAACTGGAACAGATTGCAGAGTGAAAACGAGTATGGAAGTTTTTCAATGAGGATGATAATCAGTTCTTTATTTTCCACTTTTGAAGTTAAACTGCTTTTCTTGAGTCAAAGCATGACATATAACTGTTTACACTTGGAGGTTTAATCTCGATGGGCATCGACCTCGGGTAAGAAGAGGCTTGGGGAAACTTGTACGCATTGGCAAAGGTAACGTGATAAAGCTACAATATCAGTTTTTTCTTGACGGAGAACAGTAGCATTCTACTGCATGTATTTTTTGTACAACTGACAGAGAGAAAGCAAAAAAAAGGTGTCTAAATGAAGCTACCTATCCAAGATTAGAAGTTAGTGTAGGCTTTTCTGAAAGCCCTAATAATATGAACTTGTATGATGATTAGAAGGGTACGCGCACCTTTTTCGTGGTGTTCTTTTTCCCAGGGTTGTGGGCTAAAGGTTAGCTATTTCTTTTGAGCGTCTTTTTTCGCAACAGTGCCTGTTTTTAGGTTGCCGTTCTGGTGTTTGCCAGCGTAGATGGGTCTTTTTTTTGCATTGGCTCATTAGCGATTTGCAGCCGAACGCAGCGAGGTAGCTCCAACGGAGCGAACCAAGCAAGCAGCAAGGGAATTTACTAGAAAGCAAACCAAATTAGCAACCTCTGTCATGGCAGGAAGTCTAAGCAGTATGGAGGATAACTAGATGGAGGAGTTTTACTGTACCTGTAGATGCCCTTGCCAGTGTGGAATATGGATTGGAAATGCAAGTTTCTCGCTGTACAAATGTGCACTTAGTTGGGAGCCAATTCCTTAGCTGAGTAAACTATAAGAATGGCCAATTCCTTAGCTTAGTTGGGAAATGCGTACTCAAGTCCAATTTCATTCTGCTAAATTTGTAAACTGCTATTATCTTCGGATTTATCCACCAATATGATTTTATTGAGAACAAAATTTGCTGGCTATCTTCTAGATGATTTGATTCATTTTGAGTGTCGTGCTATTTGCCAGTGTGGAATATGGATTGGAAATGCAAGTTTCTCGCTGTACAAATGTGCACTTAGTTGGGAGCCAATTCCTTAGCTGAGTAAACTATAAGAATGGCCAGTTCCTTAGCTTAGTTGGGAAATGCGTACTCAAGTCCAATTCCATTCTGGTAAATTTGTAAACTGCTATTATCTTCGGATTTATCCACCAATATGATAGTTGGGAAATGCGTACTCAAGTCCAATTCCATTCTGGTAAATTTGTAAACTGCTATTATCTTCGGATTTATCCACCAATATGATTTTATTGAGAACAAAATTTGCTGGCTATCTTCTAGATGATTTGATTCATTTTGAATGTTGTGCTATTTTACATTGAAACACACGTTTATGTTTTATACTCTGCAAAAGTGAGCTTATTCCTATTCGGTTATTTATGGACTAAAAGATCTACATATCGAGTAAATGTCACCAATCATATACTAATAATACAATGAATTTCAGAAACCCCCATGTACTGTGACATTAGTAATAGAGACTCGCATGTTATGTACTCCCTCCGTCCCACAATATAAGAACATTTTTCAAGTTAACGTAGCTTGAAAAACGTTCTTATATTATGGGACAGAGGGAGTACTTGTGACCTGCTAACACCCTACCACCCCCGCTAAAAAAAACGTACCACACATTTTACAGCCATACTTGTGAACACTTGCAGGGTTAAAGGGACTGCAATGTCATCAAATCACAAGTACCTGTGGTTATTGAACAAAATACATTACCAACTAATGCCACAGCACATGGGCTTTTCTCCAGTTTACTCTAATACAGTCATAGCCTTAGACACGAAGGGAATCACTTTGCCATCTCTTGGATCATCTTAATCACCTGAACCCTCAGGGAGCTTTCTCGATCTTCCAGCAGCAGCTTCCATTTCTGCAAGTACTTTGACAATTGGTACAACATCAGTGATTGCCTTGAGAAGTTTCCCCTCAATAGCCAATGATTCTGACCCCCCCGCCCCCCCAACGATAAGTTGCACCTCCTAACCAAAGACCTCTAATAAAATCCTCCAGAGACTGGATAACTTCTGGATGTGAAAATTTCCTCCAGACAATTTGAGCTGCCATTGTATCTTAGTGCACATGATACCATGTTGAATGTCTTGCTCTATAATTTGTTTGTGGATTATCCTAATACTGAGTTAATGCAATTGCAAAGTATTATTATTTTTGAACTACATTATATTACCATAAATGTTGCATTATACTAGAAGTTAAGTAAAACGTGGCTGATTTCTTGCTTATCAACAATTCTTTTATTATGTCTTCCGTTAAGGACCAGAAATGCTCCTTCGGCAGTCCTCCGATCTTCAAAGCCATGAAAGGGTTAACACAAACTTTGGAGGTGATACTGGAGATGCACTTGAAGCACATGAATGGAGATTTGTTCGAACATTAAATGGTACTCCCTTCGTTCACAAATATAAGATGTTTTGGATATTTCAATATGGACTACATATGGACTGAAATGAGTGAACAGACACACTAAAACTCTAAAACTTGTCTATATACATCCAACAACAACAACAACAACAACAAAGCCTTTAGTCCCAAACAAGTTGGGGTAGGCTAGAGGTGAAACCCATAAGATCTCGCGACCAACTCATGGCTCTGGCACATGGATAGCAAGCTTCCACGCACCCCTGTCCATAGCTAGTTCTTTGGTGATACTCCAATCCTTCAGGTCTCTCTTAACGGACTCCTCCCATGTCAAATTCGGTCTACCCCGACCTCTCTTGACATTCTCCGCACGCTTTAGCTGTCCGCTATGCACTGGAGCTTCTGGAGGCCTGTGCTGAATATGCCCAAACCATCTCAGACGATGTTGGACAAGCTTCTCTTCAATTGGTGCTACCCCAACTCTATCTCGTATATCATCATTCCGGACTTGATCCTTCCTCGTGTGGCCACACATCCATCTCAACATACGCATCTCCACCACACCTAACTGTTGTACATGTCGCCTTTTAGTCGGCCAACACTCAACGCCATACAACATCGTGGGTCGAACCGCCGTCCTGTAGAACTTGCCTTTTAGCTTTTGTGGCACTCTCTTGTCACAGAGAATGCCAGAAGCTTGGCGCCACTTCATCCATCCGGCTTTCATTCGATGGTTCACATCTTCATCAATACCCCCATCCTCCTGCAGCATTGACCCCAAATATCGAAAGGTGTCCTTCTGAGGCACCACCTGCCCATCAAGGCTAACCTCCTCCTCACACCTAGTAGTACTGAAACCGCACATCATGTACTCGGTTTTAGTTCTACTAAGCCTAAAACCCTTTTGATTCCAAGGTTTGTCTCCATAACTCTTAACTTCCTATTTACCCCCGTCCGACTATCGTCAACTAACACCACATCATCCACAACACCATGGGATATCTCCTTGTATATCCGATTCAGAAAAAAGTTAGAACATCTTATATTTGTGAACGGAGGGAGTATATCCTTATGCTACACCGATTGGCACCCTAAAAAGCAATATGGTGCATCTGCCTGTATTCACTTGTTGGTTTCCTCTCTAAAGTTATGCTTTCAGATGGTTACTCAAGTATATCTACATACATGAAGTCACACATATCATCTTTTGTAACTCTGTGCTTCACTAGACATGCAATGAGTTAGCATTTTTTGTAAGACACTGTTTTATCTTAATTCATCTTCTAATCTTCTGTAAGATGCTGTCAACAGTTTTGTGCTACAAGAGGAACCATGCACAATAAATTGGACTTGAGTCATATAGAGTTTATACAAAGTCGAGAATCCTAATCATACATGTGTGTATTTAACCGCCAGTTAATTGCTATATACCTCTGGTACATCAATTTAACCGCCAGTTAATCTTATTAGTTATCCCCACAAAAGCAAAATCTGATTAGTTTGTCCGACAGTTTGGAGCTATTGGCTATTTATAGCTTAATAAGGTACTGTGCATGTTTGCAGTTACATATTTCTGGTCTTCTGTTCCAATGAATATAGTGATATGGCCAACTAAAAAAAAAGACTAGTTATATGGTCCTGCTACTGTGCCTCTTTTGATTACTCCAGCTTGTCGGACTACAAAATCTTACATTGATCTGGAAGGATCTAACTTGATACTAGCAGTTCTGCAGTTTGCTATTCTGATACGGGAGTTATATGATTTATAATTGAGTCTGTTGTTGTAACCTGTGTTTAACTGTTTCTTATCAGCATACATAGTTGCATCACAGAAAACAATAGTTGATAACTCATCCCCTACATATCAGCATTCCCTGAGTGCACTATTTTTGTGCCCCTGTACCACAGGAACTCACCCCCTTCATTTATTTTATAGTACTGAAAATTACAATCGGTCTTTGTTGTAGATTCTCACCAGATTACAGATTTGAAGTCTTGAACTCTTAGACTCACTAACCGTCACTGTCAAACACTACACATCAACATGGGGTTGATATCACATGCCCATCTTGTTACATACTGCAATACCCGTGCTGAGACCTCTTCGATACTTCACTGAAGCTTGCGTCAGTTGCCACGACTTTGTCACCCACCACCATTGTTGTACTCACCACTAGGGCCATCATGTCTACCATGATCACCTTGACCACCTCTAACATGGCCTCTACCGAGATCAAGTACTCATCTGCCGACATGCCCTTATCCTTGGTCTCCATCATCTCTACCCAAAACAGCAACCTTTTGCAGCTTTTCTTCTCTGTCTGCTTAATGTAGCAACTAGCAGAACAGCAGCAGCACAACACCACTTCTTTCCTCCTTTTCTTTCCTCCTAGTGATGCCAGCTGATTTGTGATTCCTCCTTCTAGTTATCTCTTCTAGCAGCCGCACAAATCAGACGACCTGAACATCTTCCTCATCTTCTTTCACGCAGCAGCCCAACAACAGCACACAAAGTGCAAGCGCATCACTAACAGAGGCCCATTGCTTGTGACCTACAAGCACGGTGATACAGCTACTCTGTTGCAGCCTGCATATGCACACTCAAGACCACTGCTGGTTGCAGCTAGGGTGGGAAAGACAGGTCGTGATTTCCTGCAAATGTCTGGTGGTGTGAATGAACAGAGGGTGATAACGGAGGCAGTGATGAGGGGTGTGATTTAAGTTATCAAGTGGTAGCATGTAGAAATTAGTGGAATTATTGTGGGTCCCCTAGAAACTACACTCCCTCTGTTAGTAGTGCTAACTGCTATGAATTATGGTCAGGCTGTAGCACTTGATCATTTTCTAATACTAACTGTATTGAGTTGCATGCCCGGTCGATTCAGTCAATAATCTAAGATGATCAAGAAAGGTACTTCAACACTCTTTAACAATATCCCTAGATGCAGATGAAGAAATATGAATTTTTTTCTCATTCTGTTGAGTCATCTCTAGATATCAGAAATCGGATTTATCTCTATTTTTGTTATCATCATGCAGGAATTAGAATTTTTGAAGATATTGCAAACTCAAAGGTGAAGTTCTTTTGCTTTACAAGGTTAAATGTATAAGATATTGCTGTAGCTTATTGGTAAGATGGTTGTGATAAGCTGATGCTCAATGAACTCTCGACTGCTTTGTCATGATCCATTACCTTAATGGTTGTTGAGCTATCAATCTTTCACAAGCAACATGTAATTCAGTACCGAGCGATTAGCAATAAGCAAGCTGCATAACAGATTATAAGTCGCTGATATATGTCCAAATGAGTCAATGTTTAGTCAGACAACCCTATTCCATGATCATATTGCTAGCTAATACTTGTCTAGACTAGTTTCTTTACAGCTTTTGCCAATTCAAATATTTGACAGAAATCTGAAGTACAAAATTAGAACCACATAGCTATGTGCTTTAGTGAGTGAAATGCTTAAAGTGTTGGATTAATTGCTTCAGAGCATCCGCTTCCATCCCTAGCAACCAGCAATTTCTTTCTGAATGCTTGCTGTGGTTTAGGGCCTGTTTTCTCTGAAGCCATTGGTATCCCAATTCATCTATCACATTTAGCTTGTGTTTGGTTTATTGCCAAACTTTTGGCAAGATAACGTTCCTATTTGTATCTTAGTTTCACTTTCTTGCTGAAAATTGGTCAAATCACGATGTTGATTTCTTAAGTCAGTTTTTAATGTTAACCCTTGGAGCAAAGTGTTCAATTTTAGGCATGAAATGAGCATGCATCTCACTTTTCTGAAGCTGTTATCCACCCTTCTATTGCCCTCGTTTTTGAAAGAAATAGGCTCTACCTTCAAAAACTTTTGCTAATTACTGCTTCTTGCAGGGTGGAAAGGGGATACTTCTCAAGTCTATTGGCGTGGTTGGTGCAAATCCCGACACAGTGTTCGAAATGGTTCTCAGTCGGGATAAGCATAAGCGACACGAGTAAGCTAGCAGTTGATTTGGTCTTTACAGTAAATATATTAGATGTTTTCTCTTTGTGGGTGAAACAAATGCATGTTATCTCTGAATACATTGCCAGCTAGCTCTAATAAGATTCTCCCATGCAGGTGGGATATGTTGATTTCTGATTTGGAGTTGGTAGAAACAATTGATGGGTACTGTGATGTGGTTTACGGGACCTATGAGCCAAAATATTTAAACTGGTACTTTCCTCTCATTACAGTTTGGGTTATTCCCTCTATATGATTGTGATGCAATTTTAACAACAATGGCCTGATTATTAAAGAAATACTTTTTGCTGTATTGTTTTTAGTACAAAAGGCAAATAATTGTAGAAGATCTCAAATGATTTTTGAAGCACGATTAGTAGCCATTTTTGGAGATCTTGAGCTTAGTAAATCATGCTTGTTTTAGTTTAAGATACCACTTCTGCTTTAAGTGTGGTGATGTTAGGTTTATTAAGAGTTACTGTTGTCCCCTGGTCAGCAGTTTGTGAAAAATACTACTTCTACTAAGTATGAGGACTGTTCTCAGGTGGAAATCAAAGAAGGACTTTGTCTTTTCCAGACAATGGTTTCGTGGACAAGATGGGGCATATAGTAAGTAACATGATCTTTTACATTTTCAAAGTTAACTTAGTTATGTTACCTTTCTTTGCCCCTCTATGCAGACATTTTGCAAAGTCCTGCTAGTCACAAGCAAAAACCTCCAAGACATGGATATGAGCGTACACATATCAACCGTAAGATTGACCTTTCTTGATTAGTTTTCTTGCAGTTGTAGACCATGAGTCACTGAGTTTGTTTTATCTGTACCATAACTTTTGGCATGTTCAACCTATGTTCAGAGAGTATGATCACTTCATTTCAAGTTGTGTACTAAAAATAAATTTGCATATTGGCCCTTTTGGTATATGTACATTATAAGTTTATAACTAGAAGTAAAACTAATTGATATTTCAACACTAACCCTAAATGGGTTGCATAGTTACTTTTACTATAGATTATATATCTTCTTGAAGGATCATTAATAATTCCCTGCGGTAAAAGTAAACTTGCTAGATCCTAACCTGAAATGGCTCACATGGTGGGGAAATTCGACCTGTGATGAGTCACGATTGCCTTGCGTTGCACCCATGTCTTGTCACCGTAACGTGTGCACATCACACCCGCTGATGGCTGGACCGTGGTCGTCTGCCTCGGGCCTGTGTCACCATAGTGCATGCCGTTAGATGAATGGACCTTGTATTGCTATTGGGCCAAAGGGGCCAGAATATACAGAACTACAATAGTACATCTGCAAATATGATCCTATAGAAATCTGCTAGCTGAAGCTCGGGAAGGCACAAACTTTGTTGAGCTTAATTATACATGTTTGAAGAGAAAATGGCTGTGTTGAGGTCGAGTTTGTGCCTTAGTAAAAAATATTCTAGCTGAACCTCAGGAAGGCACGAACTTGTGATCCACAATCTGGTCTTGCACCTCGATCTCATGTAAGCATCATACATATCAATATGTTTGGTGAGCTCATGCTTTACAGGACCTCCAACAATGCTGATCGCATGGGTGCTGTCTGATGAGAGAGGAGTGGGTGCAGTAGTAGAAACACCAAAATCATCAAGAAACCACCTCAACCAAGTGATGTAAATTTTGTCCTATGTAAGAAGTAAAGAAGAACATAAGAAAATGTATATCGACTGTAATTTTGTTTTACGCGATGTAAAACTACAAATGTAAAAAAACACGTCATAAAATATACATATAAATGTAATTTTTGTTGTTTTATGACTCATATCTTGCTTTTCGTATGCCGATTTTTACGTAGCGGACTAATGTAAACGTAACTATTTGTACACCAAACGTAAGTTCTGAATGTAAGGACGTAGGAAACCCGTGGGTGCAAAATAACTTATGCAACCCCTGGGTGATGAATAGCATTTCTCTATAACACAGCTAGCTATTTATTTGGTATTGTAGGCGTAGATGTTTTTGTCAATAAAGTTAGTCAAAATTTACAATGCTTGACTTCTTTAAAAATCTATATGAACTATATTTTGTTACGGAGGGAGTATTGCTATTGGGCCAAAGGGCCCGAATACACAAGTAAATATGCAAATATAACCATCTAGAGACGAGAAACCAACAGCTAGCTATTACACCTGACAATTTAACCATATACAAAGGAGAAACAACACAGCTAGCTATTACACTTGACACATGTATGGCGATCGTCAGCGGCAAGGCCATAGTTGCCTGTATCAGAGCCAAGAGGTCTCCAGTTCAAGACCCGGCCAATGTGCTATCCACAAAAGTTGTTTCCAACTTCATTGATAACACGTTTGAGGCCTGGTGGAGCCTACACGTGAGAGGGGGTATTGAAGTATATGTGGATAGCCCAGCCTTCTCCATTAGTTGGACTTTTGGTTCTACTAGTTGGTGCATGGAACTTAATAGCATGAAGGTCAAGATGAAATAAATTGCACCTGCTATAATCAACATGGGTGGAAAGTGCCTTTACCCTAGCTGTTCATAAATGGCTTCAACCACCATTCTCGTAGTTGCAATACTGAAATTTGTCCAATGTCTTTTTTTTTTACATTTTGTTGGAATTTATTAAGTGCCTTAACCTTCTCCTTCCAGCCACAACATGGGAAATAAAGAGGTTAAACACATCAGAATCTACTCCGAAGTGCATTGTTACTCGCATGGTGGAGATCTCCCCATGTTTCTGGGACAGATGGAGGAGAAGGACCTCCTCAAATTTTGAGAGAAGTATCCCTTTTGCTCTGCTCAGCCAAGTAGCAGGTTGACCATTCTTTCTTTTATTGCAAAAAATATTATCTCGACAAATTGGATAATGCAATGACGATGTTGTTTGCATATATGATTGAACAGGTCTAAGAGAATACTTTGCAGCAAATCCAGCCATCACACCGGATTTGCCTTCAACAGTAGTGAAGTCAAAAGTATCTGAATCCTTGATCATCCAGAGTGAACTTGAATATTCAGAACCTAATGATGAGTTCTATGATGCACTTGTTAGAGGAGAATCCTTTGAAGGTGATAGTGATGATGATGATGATGATGATGATGTTACAACCCCGAAGGTAATATTTATGGTTTTAAACCATAATTATGTAATCCAAACGGTCATATTGTTGTGTTCAGTTATAAATGGAGATCCAATTTTCTTTGCAAATTTCTATGCAGGCTGGAAAGGTGAAGTTGAAGAACGTATCATGGGCCATTGCAGGTTTAGCTATGAAGCGAACTAAAGGTCATAATGATAAAACACTTGAGATATTTCTACCTTTTCAGCACCACTGAGTCTTGTAGTGATGCACACCAATATATATGCATGTGTGCACATAGACAAACACCAGTCTGTATACATTTGTGCCATAGAGATATGTATATATACGTCCGCCAAAAAAGATTTGTATATACACATAGGCAAGTCTGCAACTGTCAATTAAACAGATATTAAATAGTGTGTTGGGGAAGCACAAAAGCATGGTGTTTTCATAGAGCACATTTGGGGCAATATGTTCAGATAGTTTAAGGAACATTTTTTTGGCAGGGGAGATAGTTTAAGGAACATACTTGGCTATATTTGCGAAATATGGTGCTTATTAATATTTTTTGAAACAACACCCAGAAATTGACAAGGAAACTATGTATCAAATGAAACCATACCATGTATTTCTGATGCATGCTATATTACTCTAGGTTCACGGTTGTGTGTAGGGCACCATATTGTAGGGCACTGCTACGGTGCCTGACAGGCTGCCACAGTAATGTACTCCCTCCGTTCCACACGTATTTGGTAACACGCTAAAAACTCGAGTCACATCTCTCTTTGTATGGCAGTAAGCACATGCAAACATTGGAAGTAACCTGACCTATTTTGTTGACATGGTAACAGCTAGTGAACTGTAACCACTGCCTAACACTACGCTCTTAAAGTTAATCACCCACCTTTGTACTCATTCGGTACATTTCGATTTCCATGTTTCTGTACTCCCTTCGTTCACTTTTGTAAGACGTTTAAGACAGCTGAAATTGAACTGTTTTGGGTACTGCCTTAAATGTCTAAAACGTCTTACAAAAGTGAACGGAGGGAGTAGTACATTTCGTTTTTCCATGTTTCTGTACTGATACCTGTCCGTACAAACACTCATAGTCAGTACTAGCATCCTTTCAAAATGTAAATCTAATATCTTCACTTCATAATTTATTTCAACTTGTTGATTGATGTAAGGAGGCATCCAAATTGTAGTAGCACACATTTACTCCTTCAGCTCTTCAAGTGCTATACTGCAAGTTGCAAATTTCACTCATTTTGCATATGATTAGATATATGGACTAAACTAAAGAAAGATTGAAGTCACCAATTGATATGTCTTAATTCATCCAAACTGATGGTCTGCGTGTGGCATGTTGTTTGATTTATGATCCGGGCATCCTGTTGCTGCATTCTTACCTTTTGCCTGCATGGGATGATGCATCCAAATATGCACTCTGTCGTTGGAGATTGTCTTTCTCTTGCTTCAAGGGCAAAGGGAACAATAGTTGGTGCATACGTAGATGCCACTCAATTTGATTTGTCTCCTCTGCAGGGTAATAAATACGAGGGTGATAAGAATCACTATAGTTGTACATATATGTCTGTCATTCCCAAAAAGAGGGTCAAAATGGGTCAAATCTATACTTGTCCATAGATTTCTTGTAATAATTCTGATTTCGTAGAAGAATTGATAGTTTCTACCTCTACCCTATCAATTATTATTTCAACGATCAACTTTCCCCATGATGATTTCTATACTAATATCACATGATATCAGCCAATTTCATTTTATTAACTAGCTGAGAAAGAATTTGCAAATTAATAAAACCTGGTGGACGAATTTTCCATCTCCAGGGGAAAAGGACATCATCTCCTACTAGAATCCAGAGTTCTGGATTGGTGTATCATTGTTTTGCTGTTCTTCTCAAATTTGTTTTTTACTTCTTATTCAACTCCAAGTTGAAATTCTTGTTCATTTTTTTCCCTACAGCTTCGCTTGAGAGGAGCGAATTGGTTACAAATTCTATTCCCATAGCTATTGACTCGAGCCATTTCCATGGCACCGTTCGACAAGCGAAAAGTGAAGATGACCCAAATTCTTGGAGTTCACCTGGTGGAGAGAAGTTTATGATAAGAGGGAAGACTTACTTGACAGATTACGCCAAGGTCAGAGTATTACAAGTTATTCTACTAATTAATCAAGAGAATTATTAAAACTACCTTATTTACTTCTCCACTAGTCAATGACAAGAATGAGCCGTTATATGGTTTCTACCGTTTCAAAGATCTCAGGATAAGGTTGCTATGGTTAACAAATGTGGCTGCCTGAATGCTATTGTTATGAAGGACCTATAAGTTTATGCAGCTGTCACTAGTTAACTTCCTGTCGAACTGGTTAGATATATATTCACCCAGCATTTGGGTATACCACTTAACAGGTAGACCTTTGTTTTATTAATGCTGTTATATGTTGGGGTTGCTGCACCTGCATGCGGCTAGTGCTTCCACATCTCCAATCTAGTTTCTGTACATCTGATATAGTGAGGAGGTATGCTTTGTGTTAAAACACCTATCCCGGCAAGGTCATTTGAGAAAATGGCCCCAATCGGCTAGAGATCTTGCAATTAATGCAGAGTTCATTTTGGGGCCAGAATTACTTCTGACACTGTTTTTGTTTCTCCTTGTTTGGCCTGTCTCTTGATGTTAACTTTTTTTTTTTTTGCGGGGGTCTCTTGATGTTAACTTGTTTGGCCTGTCTCTTGATGTTAACTTGATTTAAACAGATTGCTGGAGGTGATCCTCTTCTAAAGCTTATTGCAGTTGATTGGTTCAAGGTTAACGAGCGCTTTGACTCGGTTGCCTTGCACCCAAAAAGCCTTGTTCAGGTAAAATTGTTGAATGAGCATTAATCCCACTTGCAAACCAACACCACTTTTAGTACAGAGAACTTCGTACAAACAGCTTTCTAGCATACATTATAGTGGGAGCTTCCTTGTTGCATTAATGCAGACTCAAGAGGAAGTTGTTTGTAGTGCCTTACTCTGACATGACACAACATACCTATTAATGTATGCTTAATTTTTTTCCGATATTTAAATTACAGTCTGAAGCTGCAAAGAAGATTCCCTTCATACTGGTTGTAAATTTACAGGTAAGTACTGTTGTCAATTTTTATTCGTTGTCTTAAATGGTGGCTGCCTAGGTGCTATGCGCCACCCTGCCGCTGGCCTAGCACCCTTTTAAGAATCTGTTTTCTATTTTAGGTAGTTTGAAGGGTAGAATATTTTTTGTATTTTAGGTAGCTTGAAGGGAAATTGTACAGTATTATAGCCAATAGTTTGAGAACTAAACAAATATGTGGATTCTTTGATGCAACTTTAGATTTTATTGTAAAAGTTCACACGTGATCTTACTGCAATCTGTAACCAGTTATGGTCAGCTAAAGAATTTTTTCTGGAGCATACATACAGATACAGATATAACCAAGTTAAAGTTATATCCATCAATTTAGGAACCTCCGCCTGTGTACAACATTCGCTGTACATGCTGAAACTATATCAGTTACTGCATAGTAACCGGGAAAGCGGGTCTGTGTCGTGTCCCACCTGGGTTCGATCTACCCCAATAAGTTATCAAACACTACTGGCAAGGGGCTGTTACATTTATCTAGCTGTTGTATGAACCAAATACTTTACATTTTTCAAATGACCAATGTGCAAACAGACCAGTGTGCACACCCTCAATCATCATAAATCCTGCCTCCTACCGATCAATGTTGCGGATGACAAAACCTCCAACTTAGCAGGTCTTTTTGTTTGCAAAACTACCACAGCCTCCCTTTGGTCTGTTAAAACCCAAGACCAGTGATTTCGTACCTCTCGTTGATCTCATTGAACTCCAGGTAACCACCTGCTCATATTTTTCTTGTTGGGTGGTCGGATCACCGTCACTAAAGCTGCCATGAGCACTCTTCCCATCTTCGCAGTCACAAGCTCCCAGAGGGTGTCGAATGTTAATACTCATATATATTAGCCATGTAATATCCCCATTATATGAGGAGTTTTCTGCATACTATACCGCACATACACGTTTATATAAATATCAGAGCCCTAGGATTTTTTTTCCTCCCCCACATGCGCAACCTGTGCTCTGTACAGATCATATTTCGGTCTTGTATTCCTCGTACCCCGTAAACTTCAACATATCGTAACCCCCCCTGGCCACTCCTGAATGATAGCCTGAACACCAGAGATATGCTCCTGAGATGCCAATTCAGTCTTCCTAGTGGCACTAATTGTCCTCTCTGCAGCATGGATACTCTGGCAACTCGCAATCACCTCTTCTGGCTCTGTTGCTTCAGTGCTTCCTGCTGGAATATCCTTGGAATTAACTTCGATCCCCATCTGTTGTCTATGGAAGAGGTGATATCTAAGGTGAAGCTTAAAGTTAACAAGCCTTTCTCCTTTGAGGTCATGAAGATTGTTGATGGGATTGCTCCTAGCAGGGCTTCATGGCTGTTTAGTTTTAGAAGGGACCTCTTCTTTCTTTAAGAATGAAGGAAGATTTAGCTTCTTCTCTTAGATCTTGGCTTGATCTTCTTGTTTCCCTCCCTCTCTCTTAGTGTGGTTTTCTCTAATATTCCCCTTGTATAGCCCTCCCCTGTCGCCCCCCCTCTTCTGTACATTCTTCTTGTATATGGTTAAATAGATTTACAGTTGGGGCCTCCCTGTTCAAAAGGGTAAAATGCTGAAGAAGCACACAATTTCTCTCATTCAATATCTAAATCGTCTCATATATGTTGTCATCTTTGTTGTATGGATGACATCCTGCACAAGTGATTAACTCCATTTGAATAAACATGTAGGTTCCAGCAAAACCAAACTATAACTTGGTTATGTACTACGCAGCAGAGAAGCCAGTGAACAAAGATTCTCTCTTGGGTAGATTCATTGATGGAACTGATGCATTTCGAGATGCCAGATTTAAGCTTATACCAAGTATTGTTGAGGTATACACTTTAGTGTTGTATCTTATCACCTTGCATGTTACTATTTTTCTTGACTAATTGCATATCACTATTTTTGCATGTCACTGTCTTCTCACCTTGCATGTATTTTTCTTGAGTAATCGCATGTGTTTGCACGTGAACTCACGTACAAAATGATCTCAGGGTTATTGGATGGTAAAGCGTGCAGTTGGGACGAGAGCTTGCCTCCTGGGGAAAGCAGTGACATGCAATTATCTTCGGCAGGATAACTTTCTCGAGGTACTTGAGTACTGCAAAACTTTGCGTTTGTTGAACACCCTCGGTATATGTATCTCTACCGTGCACCCCAATAAGCCCGATGGTAAAGATCAAATTCGAAGCCAACTTACAAAAGAATGCACGTATATTCCCCACCAAAAAAATGCACATATATAACAAATTTAGATGAAACAATGGTATTGATTTTTCTGTCGCATATCTGTTTTTTGCCTACTTTCCAGGGTTATGCTTTTGCTATGTTGAATCTGAACAAATCTTGGTATAAATGAAATAACTTTGCAGATAGATGTTGACATTGGTTCCTCTTCTGTTGCACGGAGCATTATTGGCCTAGTCCTGGGATATGTGACAAGCATCGTCGTGGATCTTGCTATTCTAGTTGAGGTATGATCATACAAATCAGACTTTGAAACGCCTTTTTTTTGCATTTTTGTTTTCCGCAATTTGCTCACATAGTTGATGGTAGATTCCAGCAAATGAATAATCCACAAATATCTATGGCACTTCGAGCTATCTTATTTATTTAGCACTTCAATGTACCAACAGAATCCAAAACGGTGCAAGCTTGGGAGTTTTTTTTTTAGAAACACATTACAAACGAAGACGCTCACATACACGCACGTACACTCACCCCTATGAGCACCTCCGAGAGACTGAGCCGGCAAATCTTGAGATTGACGAAGTCGCCGTAGGCACCTCGTAGTCGATGGGAACGCTCGTCTCCCACTAAACGCACATCACCGGAATGCCTGAAATAAATTCAGAAAATGCGAGGACCCATGCCAAGTCTAGTACTTGAACCTGGGTGAGCTGGTTCCACTTCCACCACAAGGAACCTAACCTGGATGAGATATTTTATCTTTCTCATTTTCACATTTGGTATTCTGTTCATCTCAGTGATAATTTGGCAACAGAAGTCATTGCTTTTCAAACATTGTTTTTTGCAAAACTGGGCAAACGCTCTTCGCAACCTGTGCAAAACTGATGAACACCTAACCTTGAAGCCAGCTGGTTTTGCAAGACGGCTTGACAGCTTTTACGCAACTCTTCGACTCTTTCTATCAAACCCATCGTTAGTGGTTACTTAATCCTGCAGAAACTGCAATTCAGAATGTTTGTAAGACTATTCTCCATTTTGATCTGGTCCCCTGCTGGTTTATGTCATGCTTGTCTTCGATCCTATCCTTTTGGGGGACAAAGGAAGTGGCCTAGACTTCACTCTGTGCATCAACAAGGCGAGCCATGCTAATATGTTTGTGTTTGCAGGCAAAGGAAGAGAAAGAGCTGCCTGAGTACATTCTTGGCACTGTTCGTCTAAACCGTGTAAATCCTGAGGGTGCTGTAGCGATCTAAGTTAATTCCATCTGCTCGCCCCTTCTATGGCACGGTAGATCTGCGCAATTTTCTACCATAATCTTCAGTTCTGGGAGGTGCACATTTGTAAGAAGGAAAACATGGTCACTATGTAATGATCCCAGGTCGAGAGTTGTGTCACATCACATGTACAGAGTACATACTTGGTGCCTATAGTATACATGAAAGAATACTAGAAATACTATATTGGCATGGAAGATGAGTCTACTGCCTAATGACGCATATGACGCGAGCAAATAGACACGGGAAAAGGTCAGTTATAGAGAAAGAGATCCAGGATACTTTTCTTTTTTCGGGGTTACTTTTCTTTAATATTGGAAATAAATAAATTATCCATGGTATTTGGAATACAAAAGTTCGTAGAACTGCGACATTTACTTGATTCAAACATCTTGAAGCATTTACAACTATAGTTTCTCTAGTCATGATATCTCTACGGAACTCCAAAGAAAACTTTGCATCCAAAGAGGGCTAAAAAAAATTAAGGAACTTTCAGCAAGTGGTAGAGGCTCCTACTGTTTTATACTAAACTAAAAACAATCTCTATACAAAGCAATTAACCCTCTCCCAATTCCTCATGCAACCTTGGGCTTGTGCAGAGAATTAGGAGCATCCTCATAGGCAGTGAGTTGATCATAGAGCTCAGCAAAGCGCTCAACATATCCTCCACAGAACTGGTTGGAGCAATCCCGCTCAACATAATCCTCCACAGAACTGGTTGGAGCAATCCCGCTATAATCCTCCCCAGGACTGATTGAAGCGATTCGAAACAATTTTCTGTGAAGAGTTTGATACGGCCATTCAGTCCAACTGAAATTGGGCATTCGTCTTTGCACTGATTCAAGCCACCTAGCAGCAGCACCTTCAAATTGAGCCGTGGCCATGGAAATCCACCTATGCATAGGACTACCCCAGAGACGGAACTGATCTTCGCATCAATTCTGCCACAACATTGAATTGGTGTCGTCAAATTTCGGAAGCTCCATTGGTAGAGAAAACGGGGAATGTTTAGTAGCATCCACAACATGGAAATCTTGAAGGGGGGTGGGGGGGGGGGGATTTTCTCAGAGAAGAATTAGATTCACACACACCTCTGACCGGGGGAGGAACATAACATTATGGGCCTTCCCCCGGTGTTCATTGTCGAAGCCAAGGATGTCGGTGACGGCACGACCATGACCAGCATTGCACGATGATGAACTCCCGCCCCCTTGAGGCCTGGATCCACGGTCTCTTGCTTGTATAGGCTCACCTTGATTTGCTCGAGATCGGGCGTGAGCTCTTCACGGATCCCATACACCCGCACCGACATGAGGCTATCAAGCATGCCGTTATTCGCCTCCAGAAGTTTGCTCATGGAATGGAGAAGCGATTTGCCTGCTCCTTGAGTTTCTGGTCCATGTCGCTGACGATCTTGTAGCGGAGGAGCTCGTAGACAACGCGGCTCTCAGGGCTGAGTTCCTCCATGACTGAATAAAGTGCGTGTGGCTGTGAAGCGGGATCTCCAGGACGAAGGCTCTAAATACCAATTGTGAGCTACTCACTAGATTCAACTCACAAGGACTAGGAATTTCATGGAAGCTTGATCTAGAATTCGAGTTTAGTTAGAAGTTCCACCTAACCACACTCACTTCTATCCATTACAACGAACAAGCCACGGTCACAGTCGTCCAAATCCTAGCTAAAGAAGAAAGACAATGGCTATAAGTAGAGTACAACGATCAACGGGCAGTTTGGGATTGCAAGCCATTGGGGAAGCTTCTTGGCCTTGTCGACTAGGTCCTTGGAACTTGGAACTGGAGCTGTAGCGGCTACGCTGTTGTCAACAACGCTACATTAGGTATCATAGCTTGTTCTTCTCCTTCAATGTTACCGTCCAAATAGGTTTTGGTATAGTAGACACTCGAGTCGTCGTGCCAAGGCCCAATAGGACCAGCACACCGGAACAACAAACGTCGTTGATGAAGAGAAGTGTCGATTAGAAGGATTCAACATGGAGACACACAAGCACAGATGAACGAAGACCGGATCCAACTTCAGGAAGCCGCCGCCGTCTCATCTTTCTAAACAGGATATAAACAGTAAACAAACTCAAAAAAACATCTAAAAATAAAGCAAGAGCCCTCCCACCAGCAAGTGTCGGGATCCACCACATCTCCATTGCCCTGAGGCCACAGAAGATAAGTCAGATCAGCGACGACACCGGCAGGAGGCGGGAAAACCCTATATGAGTAGCTTGTGTGGGAGAGGGGCTGAAAACGTGATGTTCCCTCCCCGACATTTCCTTTATGCCGAATATAGCAATGCTATGTCGACAGACACCGGTAATTGAAAAGAAAAAGGAAAGCATAATGGCGGTAGCGAGAGCGGAGAGCAGAGACCGGTCCCTGTTATTTTCGCGAATCGGTTCGTGTTAATTCCAGACGCCATAGGAATAGGATGCATGGACAGCAGCATCCCTCCCAGACGAGGCAGCCGCCGCAGTGCGCCACTGTGCGTGCCGACCTGGTAGGGCACGTGTCCACCGTCGGTCCACATTCATGTACGCCTGAGCTGAGCCCCCAGCTTCAAATCATCATTCAGATAACACACATACGGCGGCCCCACATACGGCTACCATAGAATAAACCAGGCCTATAAATTCGAACCGGCCGGGCGGACATGGTAGTAACGACGAACCAGCAAGACAGCTAGATCACGAGAAAGAAACCTGTAGCGCCGAGCTAGGCGAAGGTCGGTCGAGAGAGATGCAGGGCGGGGTGAGCGCGGCGGGCGCGGCCAAGGAGGCGGGGGCGAACCTGGGCGCGTCGGCGTGGGCGGGCAAGGAGAAGGGCATGGCCGTGGTGCAGGAGACGGTGGAGAAGGCCAAGGCGCACGACGACCCGGCGGCGCAGGCGGAGGCGGAGGCCAGGAAGGAGGAGCGGCTCCTCGAGGTGGAGGCCGCCAAGCAGGACGCCTACCGCCGCAACGCCGCCGTCGCCAAGGACGGCCGCGCCGCCGCCGTCGTCAAGGATGAGAAGGAGGCGGCCGCCGACGACGAGGCTGAGGCCGTCTCCGCCTGACGACTCCTTCGGAAACCACCTCCTCCAGTATTTTCGTTTGTTCGATCGACTGTACGTATTGTATTGTATTGTTTGGAGTGCTGCGTGCATTTGGAATTATTCTTGTGGGAAGAGCTGTTATTATTGGAGATGATGAGATGGGAACAGAGGCGGAGGACGAATTTTTTTTAAGGTGTGGTGAAGTTTTAAGGAAAAAAAAATTTGATGCAAATCAAAAGAGTCAATACACATTACAAACGGAAACCCCAATACAATAAAAGTGTAGGCATATTTCAATAGGAAAATAATCTAAAACAAACCAATAATGAAGATTTCAATGGCGTCTAGAACTGCGCTGGTTGGGCATCTTATTAGCTTTTATGCATAATCATCTAAAAACAAAAACTTGTGCGTCCACAGTACACTAGCATGAATGAAAAAATATAGACAAACTTTCCACCATATTGTACAAGGTCGCTACATAAATTTTTATCCATTATGTTCAGAATTACTGTAGTTACTTTAGATCCTGCAGAATTGACAGAAGAAAATTTGCTAATACCCAACAAAGTGGCTGCAATTAGTCCTCTGGTTCGTACACCGGGGAATGACCAGGAAAATTCCCAACTGCCATCGTCTGCTGGAACTTGCTTCTACCGCCATTGAAGCCGCCGCTTGCTTCCTTCGCTGGAGCTTGCTGCGGCAGCCCTCTAAGCCCCCAGCCTGCCGCCGCCGTCAGCTGCCCCCGTCATCAGTCGCCCGCCTGGTCCTCGCGACATGGCCAGCAGCCGCCATCGCGCTAGCTGCTTAGGGTTGCGTCGCGTCTGGGTAGAGTTGGTCGCATGCGTGCGTGTGCGTTGTGTGTGTGGCCGCTCGATCGAATCAAACCTTTTTTTTAGACACTCTCAATCGAATCGAACCTGTTGTGCCTGCCTGCGTGGCCCAACAGCTGGATGCGTCGGCCCATCAGGCCAGCGCTACTGGCTGCAGTCGATCGAAACAGCCGATGCCGATCCAGAGTCTGCCGATCGATAGATGCATAGGTATAAAAAAAAATTGCCCCAGAATCAAGGTATGGCGGATGCCATACCCTGCCCACCGGAGCCCTCCGCCACTGGATGGGATTGCTTTTTAACGTGCAATGCGATGTGATCCTTTGGTCGATTCGATTCCGGTGGGCATGTACTAGCAACTCGCTTACTCCTTCACCTGAGCTGCCTACTTCTACTTTGTAGAGTAGTCCTTGAGCTATTTTCTCCAAAATCTAAGATACTAAGGAGAATAAATCGGTAGCGTTCCCAAATTGATTCGTTATAATTGGGTACAGGCCGTTTTAATGTACATATGCCACGATGGTCCAACGATCTGATCGGCATGCAATGCAACCGGTCCCATTGGGTCCAGGAACTCGTGGCAGTGGCAGTGGACACATCACAGCTGTCGCTCTAAAAAAACCTCACGAGCCAGCGACTGCAAGTCGGCGGCTGAAGCATATTCCCGGTCCATTCTGCTAAAATACATAAATGACAAAATTTTATTATTCCCTAAAGAAACGAACTCCTGACAGAATTTCTTCTATCTTTACTAGGTTATAAAGAATATCAAACAGTAGAACTTTTTCTTACAGGCCAGAAGGAACCTCACATATTTTATTTTTTACTTTTCACATATTTCATGAGCATTTGTACTACAGACTGTATTCAGATCGACAGCTAAATTGGTTTGGTCCGCACACTCGCTCCTCAGACAGACTTCTTGTTTGCTTCACATTTTCATCCAAATAACTACTTTCTCCGTTCACAAATATAAGATGTTCTAAAAAAAAATTATGAATCAGATTTATATATACATGTTTTAACGGATTTGTTCACTTATCACAGTCCGTACATAGTCCATATTGAAATATCAAAAACATCTTATATTTGTGAACATAGGGAGTAGACATATCAATTAAAAGAGATTGTCATCCGGAAAAAAAAGTTGCTTCAACGTAGCACAACCATGCTAGCGGTCAACTCAACCCATTACCAGGCTATGATCGTTCCAATATATCCTAGTGTATACTCTCACATAACCATTGTAGATAATGACATGAATAAGACATGATTCCAGAGTAATGAAGAGGTAGCGACGTTTCGAAAACAAGAGGTCAAAATGTCCAAGTCTAATCAATCACCATTGCACTATCACTTGTGCAATAACAAGAAGCACAATAGCTCCGCAGAGCAGCAGCTTTACAACACGTTAAGCAGTCCTACCCCAAAAGAAAAAGAAGAGAACAAAAACTGATCGTCTCTCAAAACCAGATGGTTTCAACCTATGGCTAAGTTTTAAATAAACATTAGCAATAAGATTTTACAACAGGACGGGCTTCTAATCGAATTTGTGTATACATGTTCCGGCGATCCATTTATGTGGCAGCGCCTCCGACCATGTGGTCGCCATCAACACCCATGGCATCCGCATAGTTTGCTTGATGCGGGTGCCCACCATATGGCCCCATCCTTCGGCCACGGTTCTGCTCATCTGTTCCCATGAAAACATGACAGGGCATTGCAATTACTACACAGCTACAAGGCATGTTCAACTCATAAAAAATCATGTTTGCGGTGTAGAACGCTGCAATCTTGTAACCGCTAGGCATAAAGGATAGACAGATAGGCTAGCCTCATATCTCCCAAGTAAGAGAGGAACACTATCTACAATTTGGCACATTCTATAAACTGTCCACTGCATTACAAGGATCCTACCTCTCTAAAGTGGAAACTGGGTATAATTATAGTGGATAGTGAATACACTGCAAAATGGTATACAGCCATGACATCTCAAACTGCTCCCCTGATCAGGGTAGTCATCCTAAATTGGAAATTGTCTGGGTGGTTTTCTGCAACATCAGAAAGATCCTCCCATTTTGTCAACAAGCAATGATTTAGTATTTACCACTTTCGCCATCAGATGCCTCAGCAAGCCTTGCTATCGCATCAATCAACGACTGTTCTTGCTCCTGCAAGCATTGCTGGTTAGTCAAAACCAAAGGCCTCCTGATCGAATGGATATCAGTATATATTCCAGCATACCTTCAGCGCTTTCTTTGCCTTGTCTACCTCCAAAGGATCAGGATGACTAACACTGAAGACCCTCTCCACCTATGGGAGATGCATAAGGTTAGTACATCTTCATCATCAGAGAGGCTAGCAAACTTTCTTCAAACTAACCTCTTTTATCAGGCTTTCAGTGTGAAGTATATCAATGTCATCAGAACTTCTCTTCCCAACGCCATTTTGCGAACGTGGAAAGTCTTTCTTCGACACATTCTTTTGGAATCCTCTCCCCCTACCTGTACCTGGTGTGGGCATAACACGGCTAGTTGACTTCTTACCCCCGCTACCTGGAGCACCACGACCTCCTTGATATAATCCTGGGTCCTCGCCTTGCCAGATTATGTCTTCTGGTTTTATCTGTAGTCAGGGCCCAAGGAATTGTCAGCAAAGTCCATCAAACAGAAAAGTTCAGAGGACAGTAGTCATCAAGCGGTTTGGTGCACACACATTGGGACATGTGCACGATACAATAATAACGGGCAAATGCTACCAGAGGACATTAGCCAAACGGATGGCATTTGTTTCACATTCGAATCTAACCATCTTTATATCTGTACCATATGATCTTCATGACTGAATCAAGGTACCAGGTTATGTTCTCTAGAAATTTGACGCGGTTCTCAAGGATAAGTGTTGATATCACAAACTGTTATCAAAATGTTCGCCCGACATTTGGCAAGAAAATGGAGTGAAACACTGACTGGAATGTACTCCTGGTCAGGACACTAGTGGCAATGGGAAAACCGATATCAAATGACCATAATTCTGTAAAATAAAGTTGTCCCTCTTTGCTACACGGTAGGGTCAATAGTCCAGTTACTTATCCCAACAGATCAGTTGCATTACCTTAGTTCACTAATACAGGCCCATTTGACACAAGCATGATGTGTAGGTCTGCATCACATGGCCAAGTTGGCGATTTAAAAAAAAAGGCAGCCCGGTGCATGTAGCTCCCGCTTGCGCAGGGTCCAGGGAAGGGCCCGGCCACTTTGGGTCTATTAAGTTGGCGATGTAACAACAGCTAAAATTGTCTTAGTTCACATCAAGAGTCAAAAGATCATGATGTTCCCTCCCATGTTCCCCGGTAATTTTGTTTTCGGAGCTAACCCTGCCTAACCACGCAATCTTATTCCTCATCATGCTTGTACCTTAACTACTTTTTTGTAAGTCCAATATCAAAGAAAGGAAAACACCAAGCATGAAAATGTGAATAATTATCAGAATGTCCACATAAAAAAGATCGTGTACCTCTTTAAAATCAACCCACTCCCAGGTCTCATTAGCTGTATTTATGTCATAAACTAGCGCATAAACGTCCTGCAATGGAATCCCTCAGAAAATCTGGGGCTTGGATTAACAAAACTATAATCCTAATGAGCTAAAAGCACACCTTTTCCGCATTGTAATCAGTTATAGTGGCTTCATAGAAATTATTATCTTCAGGCCACCGAGACATGACTTTACGACCAATTAAAGGATTAAGATGATGCTGTCCTTGAGAAGGTTCAGGAGCAGCAGGGCGACCAGGAAAGTTTCTGTTCATATGTGGTCCCCTTCCGCTGGGACCTGCTGAAGGTGGCATAGATTTGACTGCAGAGCCCCCTGGTATCTTCTGGCCCTTGGAAGCACATGAAATTCCATCAAAGAAGAGAAAAAAATTGCTTCATAACAGAACAAGCCATCAGATATGTGCTTACTGGTTTTGTCTTTTTGCCTTTAGTGCCTGGCAGAAATCCCTTTTTAGCTGCTGAAGATGAAGGTTGTGTTGGTGTAGCCATCTGCTGTGGATGCATAACAGGAGGAGACGGTACAGGTAGGGGAGGAACGGATTGAGATGTCTTTTGCCTTTTACGGCCAGAGGTGGTAGGGCTAGGCGCCGGGTCATGATGTATAGGCTGAGGATTATTGGGTAAGCTTGCCTGAAGGCCTCCTGTTGATCTCCATTCCCTTAATTTGAATCAAGGCAGAAATTTAGAGTGCTGGGAACAGAAAACATATCAACATTGCAGTGAATAGCACAAATATTTATCTATATTCGACCTTATGCTGCGGATAATATCATCACCATTGACCCTGTTTAGCACCTCCCTGTGTTCTTTGTCGGATACCCTTAGCTCCTTCCTAAGTTCGGTAATCAGACCCTCCTTCTCCTAAAAAAGGCAAAGTTGATCTAAGGTCAGCTTTGAGAAATAACATATAAATTTTCAGCACAAACACCTGAATTAACAGGGACAGGTCTAGCAGTACCAACCCATGTGAGGGCATCAGACTGAGCTTTAAAAGCACGCAGAACTGCACAATACGCTTCTTGCTCAAGCTGTTGAATTTGTGTTTCCATATCGGTCTGGGCTCTAGGGTACGAGCTGGCAGGAGCAATGGCCCTTCCATTACCACTGACAGGAACAATAGCTCTGCCATTACCACTGGCACGCCCGCTGCCTCGTATACTCCTATTATTCGGATTATTCGGATATGGTGGTGGAAGGTCATCATCAGTTCCTGTAACCCACACAAAAGTTTAGGAACCAGCACTTAGTGCAAGTTGTAGAGCTGTTCATATACAAGCTTCGCAACAGGGAAAAAATCACAATTGCTGACATAGTAGCAGAGAGTATTTCACATTGTTCTTATGAATATGACAAATAAAAATGGCCTGTAATGTTCAAATAAATAACATAAATAGAATTGATAAGCATGCTGTTCACTAAGTCCAATGAACCTTGGTGATGTGCCACAAAGGAGTTATATAGATGAATGATGGTTGCATTTCTTTACATTCATGATTTATTTGATAACATGTTCCTTGAATAATATCAATAATGTTGCTGGTTATTGTAAGCTGATCCCTAGTTGATAAACATGCAAGGACAGGTATATGTGGACTAGGTATTGGGTGACGACCATGATTCACAGGTTATAGATATGGAGATATTAAACCAGTAATCCAGACACATGTTAAAGAACATACGGTTGGATTAAACCACCATGACACATCAATATAACATTGTCTTATTCATGTCATCGGTTGGTCTAATATACAATGTGCATCCTATAACCTAGACTTGAGATTGTCGCAGACTCAAGCAGTGGAATCTAGAATGGCTTACTTAGGGGTTACCAAACACTATTCCATAACTGTGCAATCTCGAAGTGACTTCTGGTTACTCGATAAGCATGTTCTAGGCCAGTCAACCAAGATGGAATCTGCGTCTCTGTACAACAAGAAGCACATCTCTGTGCCCTCGAGTTACCAGATCCGGTTAAAGAGTTGCTCTGTACGGGGATTCTGAGACACGTGATTGAGGAAAAAGTGGCCAAGCTATCCAAACAAGGATGGCACATATTCGTCTTGGATTCGACAAATATCGCAAGGGGAAATGCATATAACTGCACTCTGTGAGTGTTCACCAGATATGATCTTTATGTATACTTGGAAGTTGGCACGTCCTACTAGGGGCCACTACCAACTATTGGTCGAACAGGAGCTCTCCGGCCATGTCCAAAATACATGAACCTAAAAAATGTTGCACACTTGGCAAGAGCATGATCGAACGAAGATGCAAATTATATACAGGGGTCTTCTCCATGTGCTATTTCGCCCATACTTACAAGGATTTCGTGGAATTTCAATAAAACTGAGGGAAATTTTGGCATTCAAATCACCCGAGCCATCCATCCACCGGGCATGGAGTATATATAGATCAAACAAGGCAGCGTGCAGGAGAAAGAGGGGTCCCCACATGCACAGGGGTTTCACATGGGCAGGCCGACTAGGGGTCTTCTCGGTGTGCTGTTTTGCCCATATTTCTGAGGATGTCGTGGTATTTCAAGAAAACTGAAAGAATTTTCAGCATTCACCCGAGCCATCCATCCACCCTCGCATTGAAAGCCATTGCCAAGCGACACATGGTGTTATTACCCCCAAGTGTGGATACCTTGGAGGGGTTGCTGGCTTGCTATTGCGATGCTAGGGCAATCCTCTATTTCCTAGATGAACCACTAGGAGGTAGTACGACTGCGGCCACGGTGACATGCTATATTGACACTGCTGATATCACTATGTGCTTCTTGTGTAATCCTGTGATCTATAACTTGGGAGTGGTTCCGTATAACTTTTCTGAAATTATGGTAAAGCACACTACTATAAGCTATGGAATGTGCTTCAAGGAGAGATATGTGTCTCTTGTGTGTTCCTTGTACTTCATTTTGTTCGTCATAATCTCTATGAACTATTACTGTAGTTGTGGTGCAAAGCGTAACTGGTTGTGTCTCGATGTCTAGGGCTCCCAATCAGGGCCTAAACACATTCGAACTACAGGGAACGGTCGTAAATGGTACAAAGTTCACGCACATATATACCCACAACGACTTGAGCCAGAGTCGCCATAAAACCCTGCCCGCGTGCAAAGCTCCAAAATTTCTCCACGCAAGCCCCAAGGTAACCCTAATGCTAGCCTGCCATCACGCAATCTCAGACCTAGCTCGAACCCCCGAACCCGCAAGAATTTGCACCCATAAACCTACCAGGCACCCAAAAACGCGACCTTTGGCTACCCCCATAGACAAAAACCCCTATCCCTCCCCGAGCAATCCACGTCCAGTGGGAAGCAGCTCAAGCAAGCAAGAACCCTAGAATTCGAAACCCTAGCTAGCACGGGGAAGCGGAGCCGAGCAGCCCCGCCCAAGCCCCAACTCACCGCTGCTGTCCGAGGGCCCGTAGTTCATGGCTCGGCGCCGCGCGGCGCGACCACCCCGGGGGAGACGCGCGCGAGCTCCGGGCGATTTTTGTCAGGACCTGCAACCACGCGAGGAACGGGAGTCAGCCCTCGCCACTGCGACGCCGAACGCGGGGCCTCCGGGCGGCGAGCGGCCCAGGCGGCCGCGGATCCGAGGGCGGCTCACCTCCGGCGCGCGTGGAGGCGGCGGAATCCGGCGAGATTTGGGGGGAGACGAGGTGGTGGTCCGACCGAGTGGGGAAGAGGAGGTAGTACTGCCAAGTATGGGGATTCTTTCTCGCCGAGAGAAAAAAAAAACAGGGGGTCGAAGAGAGAGAGGAAAATAAACGAGGGGGGGAACGAGAAATTGGCGGACGTGTCGCGGATCTTGTACGCGTGGATAATCAACGGCTTACGGGAGTCGTCGCTCACTCACTCGTCTCCCTCGGGACAGCGGCAACTTCCGGTCCGATCACAATACTCCCTCCGTCTATTTATACAAGGTATCTTTCCCTCGAAAAAGAAAATACAAAGAGACTATCCCATCCTTTATAAAAAAATAAAAGCCAGCTAATAAATAACTTGATTTTTTGTGTGAAAAATCTTTTGTGTTCCGAATTACTCCCTCCAATCCATATTAATTGTCGCTCGTTTAGTACAATTATACAAAATAAGCGACAATTTAATGCTTAATATGGATCGGAAGGGGTAGCTAAACATGTTGTTGTACTCTCTCCGATCCATATTAATTATCGTTCATTTAATTTTTTTTCTGTGGCTAGATGCGATATTTACATTAATATAAGTATCCTTGCATGAGGCAAAAATTTCTCAATTCTTCTTCGGCTTTGTATAGATGTAACTTTCCTTTTGAATACTGGTCTTGTATATAGAAATGAAAAGAGTATATCAATCTGGAGATAGAGGATTGCAAGAACATGACTAATAGTTTAGCTGTTGATGACCAATAAGTATAGGGCATTATGACAATCTTTGAGGGTGGAATTTCATTCAAATCTATTGACTCAACACAAGATGAGTAAAAGAATATTTATAAATCTTATTAGTTGAGTTGTCAATTCAACCACACAGCTTGAAAGTTATTTCTCTACAGCAAAGTGTTTAGTAGCAGAGTAGTATGATAATTTGATAGTAGCGGTGACAGTAGCAGTAGCAGTTTTGTAATAATTATAACAGTAACAGCAACAATACTAACTTAACAAAGACAATATGAGCAAAGTATAGGCATTGGATCAATTGATATTTGTATGGTGATATTCATCATATAACAGTCACAACCTAGAGCGACAAACAATAGCTCATATTCATCAATTCAATGTAGGGATGTATTCCATATATAGTCATATGTGCTTATAATAAGAACGTGTATAACATCTTTTGTTCTATCTTCCTGTGGCAGTGGAGTCCATAAGGAAATTTAATTGTAATTAAGGCCGATAAATCGCGTGTGGACATGTAGCCATGCGAGGTCCATATCAACACCACTCGTTCCTATGTGATTCGTGCAACATAAACACAGCGAGCGCGTATAACGTTTTACAACGACCGTAGACAAGCTCGTATAGTTCGGGTATTACCTCTATCCCGTCCAGCATATGGCCCGCAAGGCAGGCTCACGCATTGAAGCTAGACCTGTGCACCCACCCAACGGCTGGCTGCACCACGCGGAAAGGAGACACGGGTTAATTAAGCGTCAGCGGTCAACCCCAACGGCTAGCTGGACCCTTTGTCTTCTTAAACGTCCGGCGATATTGTTTCTGCTGCCCATTCTTCTTCTCCATTTTTGAAAGCCTCGCCGGAGCTCACAAGCATATGTTCATACATGTCTCAGCGTAGCTCCACACCACACCGCCAACCAGTTGCCCCCGCTCCCTCTCATACGCTGCCCCAAACGCAACGCAAGCTACATAATCTGGCATGTCTCAGGAAAGGAAGAAAACCCAGGGAGTCATTTCTACAAGTGTGAACTCCATGGAGTAAGTTTCTCAACACCCTTTCCATCCGTCTTCTTCATTCTGGGCTAATTTCTTCGTTTACGTCAGAGCATGAAGGATGCAATTTCTGGAAGTGGGAGAACAAGTACATATAGTACTTCAGTTCGGGGCCATCTGATTTCGCATGCATCGGTCCATCGCCACGTCCCGCTTCTCGAACAGAATCAAACATTGGTGAAGAACATTTTCATCCTAGGCCTTGTGAACCTGCTGGCCATGGCCATCATCTTCATGCAGAAACTCTGAAGCTTAGGGCCTCTGCGAAGGGAGTGCGGCAGATTTCATACGTATTTCTTTTACTTTTGCATGTTTTGCATGCATGTATCTGTTAGTATGTGTTGCTTTTTCATATGGGCAGACAGTTGGCTTATCAATAATACATCTCCAACGGTTGTGTGAATGTAGCCCCATCATGGCAAGTCGTATTTGAGCTATACGTTATTAATTGAACCGTGACCACGAGACACACTGCAAAACAAATGCAAATACACACTGACGTCATTGATGCTCTGCGTTACGTGTGCACCACAATCACCAGTGGACAAGAGTTTAATGAGACCCAGTCCCCCCTGCGCGCATTAATTCGACGCTGCTATCCTCCAGTCTGATCATGACACCCAGCATGAATTAATTTGCCATCAACACATCGGGTCTTCAAGAGCACGACGGCACCCTTTCAGCACTGGTTGTTCTCTCATCTGGCATTAGTGTTCTCCATCAAGCAACGAAAAGATCATGGGCTCCAACTACATGTGCAAAAACAAATGACGCGGCCAGAAAAACTTACCTCCTGGCCCATCAACCTTATCGTCAAGGGCTATGTATCTGTTCTCTATCCTCATATTGTTTTTTCTCTTCTGAATCCACAAGATCTGTCCCTTGCATAATATCAACTGAATCTAACAAATCTATAAATCCGTCTCTCGCGGCGTGCCGAGCCTCACAGAAGGGCTTCCAAAAACCAACGAATCAGGGTAACAAGGCAAATCCCACGTTCCACTAAATTTCGTCATGGTGCTGGGTCGAGGAAGATAGAAAGATGATTACAGGTAGGCTTGTAAGCAGAGAAAAGAACCAATGGCAGTGAGGACAAAGTCTCAAATGGCTAACCTATTGAACTCCGCTTCTGCAGAAGCCATCTCGTCTTCTTCCTTTGCTTCTTCCCAGGGCGCGGTGTGGAGAAGATCTACAGTGTGCGCAACCAGCAAGCACGACTGCTTAATGATGGCTGCCCTACGTCCACAACAGTTATGCCATCACCCGAACTATGACACCGGGCGCTACCAGCCAGACATGTATACATACGAGTATTGATGCCGTCTGGTCCATTGGTTGGGGGTATAGCACACTGTATTTGGGAGGGCCAGTAATTTAGATGCCAGGTATTGCAAATGAGCTTATATAAAGTAACAATCCTGATGCGCGTGTGGACGAACGGGATTTCGGCAGCGCGTGGCTGCATGTCCCAAAAATCTGCGTCGTAATTAAGGCCTCCTTTTATAGAGAACCGAATTAAGACATTAACACACGGTGAATACATGAACTACTCAAATTATAGTCATCCCCAATTATTGTCACCTTGGGGCCTACGGTTCGGAACAATAACTAGTGCATATAGCTAGCAGTAGAATCCAGAACTCAAATATATTGATTAAAACATAGTGGGTTCAGATCTGAAATCATGACACTCAGGCCCTAGTGACAAGCATTAAGCATAGCACACTCATAGGAATATCAATCTCATAACATAGTGGATACTAGGGATCAAGCCCTAACAAATTGACTCGATTGCATGACAAATCTTGTTCATCTTCATCACCATCCAACAAGCATACGAAGGAATCATTCAGTCTCAATGGTGAGAATCATGAAATTGTTGATGAAGAAGGGTTGATCATGACGACGACGAATCATGGCAACATTATGACCCAAAGAATTTGTTTACATTCTAATCATAAATCTTTGAAACACATTAAAAGTCAAGCAAAACTAAACCATAGACATGCTAAATGGGTTCAATTCATTGAGACTTTTCCTTATATCATTAAACACAAGAAGGGTAAATAAAATGTTATTGTTGATGCTTTGTCTTGTCGTTATACCATGCTTTCACAACTTGACTTTAAAATATTTGGTTTGGAGACAACCAAAGATGAATATGTGCATGATGCTGAATTTAAAGATGTGATGTAAAATTGTAAAGGAGGGAGAACATGGGACAAGTTCGTCATTAATGATGGATTTGTGTTCCGTGTTAACAGCTATGAATTCCAGCTAGCTCTGTTCATCTTTTGTTGTTGTAGGAGGCGCATGGAGGGGGATTAATGTGACATTTTGGCATGAAGAAGATGGAGGAAATACTTGCTGCACATTTATTTTGACCAAAGATGAGACGAGATGTTGAGTGTTTTGTTGCTCGCTGTACTACATGTCAAAACGCTAAGTCACGACTCAATCCTCATGGTTTATATATGCCTTTGCATGTACCTAGTGAGGGAGTCTTGGATTATGGGGTCTTCGGACAGCCGGACTATATCCTTTGGCCGGACTATTGGACTATGAAGATACAAGATTGAAGACTCCGTCCCGTGTCCGGATGGGACTTTCCTTGCCGTGAAAGGCAAGCTTGGCAATACGGATATGTAGATCTCCTCCCTTGTAACCGACTCTGTGTAACCCTAGCCCCCTCCGATGTCTATATAAACCGGAGGGTTTAGTCCGTAGGACAACATACAATCATACCATAGGCTAGCTTATAGGGTTTAGCCGCTACGATCTCGTGGTAGATCAACTCTTGTAATACTCATATCATCAAGAACAATCAAGCAGGGTGTAGGGTATTACCTCCATCAAGAGGGCCCGAACCTGGGTAAACATCGTGTCCCCTGCCTCCTGTTACCATCCGCCTTAGACGCACAGTTCGGGACCCCCTACCCGAGATCTGTCGGTTTTGACACCGACATTGGTGCTTTCATTGAGAGTTCCACTGTGTCGT